GATCTTAGAGGTCTTTTCCAACCTCAATGATTCTATGATTCTATGATTCTTAAATCAAGGGCTCAGGCGAGATTTGGTGGTGGTCACCAAGCATCCGAGGACTGGAAAGGTGTTTTTAACAGAGCTTTGCCCACAGCTCATTGATACTTGGTGTATATTTCTTCCCACAAAAATTATTCTAGAAGCAGATTCAAGTCTTCCTCATGTTCTCAGTTCTTCAACTAAAAGCTCTAAAAAGGCTTTTGATAGTGCTACTCTGTCAGATAAGTCAACCCCTTTCCTACAAAGCAGCATAGTGAAGCGGTAAAGACAGAGGCCTGGGCCAAAACTACACAATATTCAGAGTGCAAAGTCAGCAACAGAACATCTGTAAAATTCAATAAGCCCATAACAGGAAAAACTCTTTTAGGCCTAATGCTTCCAGCTAGTTTTGATAAAAGAACAGCAGTAACAAAAGCACAGATGTATTTTTAGAACACTACCTGACCAATTTCACAGGTTTACTATTAAAGACTACTAAGAAAAGCAACTATTGAGGATACTAACCTCCACACCACCAAAGTCAAGAAAACACTCTCTCTCATCTGCTTGTACATATTATTGGTCTGGCAATTAGACATGGGAAAATTGAGTATTTTCATTATTAAACCTTACTAACTTCTAATAGGCACAAACACCCTAGGCATAATTAAATTGGGAAACAAACAGCAGATCAGGAAAGGACAAATACTAACATCTGTTTTTTAAAACTGTATTTTAGAGTACATAGCCTACCCCACTTTAAGTTGCCAATTCCATGTTTTACCAGGCTTCATAAATACTCTTACAGAGGCTAGCTTTCTGATGTTGCCAACAAGTTTGTCCTAGAATGTATTTTAATATAAAAACATTTTCATTACAAGCATGAGTTCTGTTTTGATGATCTGGCAAATATTCGATAGCTCTAGGATACTCTTCATTCTCAGGAAGATATTTTTGGTAAATTGAAAACAAACCACAAAAAGTGAGAATGGGATGTCAGCAAGACCACTCTGCTGCCACAGGCAGGATTTACTATGCTTAAACCCTTCGTGATCAGCTTGGTAGCCAAACATCAGTTTATTTCTTGCTTGCTTTCCAACTTACATTAGACCAACAACTGAGATTACCACGTTATTCTGCAACATGTCCCATTGCTAGAAAGGTTCCTTCTACCAGGTCTGACCTAAGTCTTTTTTCCTGCTGTTCAGGTCCGTTACCTAAGCCATCTCCAGCAGTCTAGATGTTTCTGCATTCTATGTCCCCCAAAGCACTTGCAACCTCTATTCAGATTCGTACTATCTACAGATTTAATAAGCATACACTCTATTTCATGATTGAAGTTATTAACAAAAATACTGAAGAGACTTCTTTTGAAATTTACTTGATATATCCTTCCAGCCTGACATCAAACAAGAGCTGCCTTTACAAAGACTGAGGAGCTAGTAAGGCAAATAGGTAACATTGATCAGCAATTTACTTTAGAAGAACACTTCTGCCTTTCAGAAACATAGGACTACTTTTAAATTAAAATGAAAACAAAAACAAACCCCCACATTTAAAGTACTTGAACAGAAAGTCAGGAGTATGCATCCATACACGCATTTACAAGAAACTGCTTTAATTATACCGACAGATATGAAGAACCTATTTGCCTGCTAGCAAGCCTTCTCTTATGTACACACCACACAACGGATCAACCGCTGTTGATTAACACTGATAAAACAGCTGCTGTACTCCCTACAGCTACCAGAACTAAGCTTATTGAGGTGAGCACCACAGATCCGAACATGATTCCACTGCTTTCAGAAATTCTCTTGGTAAGAAAAGAATAGGCCCAAAATTCATCACTGAATGTTTAAGTCACCATTCCCTAGCAGCACAAACTCAAAATATATCTGCCATTCTTTAACCAAAGTGTCATAAAAGCTAACCTGGCTCAGGTTGTCTATTACTGAAGCAGAGCTGCACAATCCTAGAAAGATAAGAAAAAGATACTGAAATACTACTATCCTCATACTATTAACACTCAAATGCATTTTAATTTATTTAATCAGACTGGTCAAAATATTCAGGTTTTTGATATTCAGTATCAGAACAAAATATCTCAGCAATAGCCTCTGGTGTCTGATTCAAACACTGCGTAGTGACTTCAAAAAAGAAAGTCTTCCATAACATAAATTTTATCTAAATTTATGGGCTTTGCTGTGTTGTGGATAGTAGAATAATTTACAGGAAAAAAAAAAAAAACTTGCTCTTAAATTTTACTTCTTGAGGGGCATCTGAGAGAAGCTTGTAAAGCGTTTTCTTTCAAGTAACATGCAATAATTACTCCAATATTCAATTATATAAAATGTAATTCTATAGTTTTTTGAAGTATGATCTTCAATAATAAGGCAGTGAATGCCAAGGAGTAATGAACAGCTGGTTCCAAATGATGTACAGTGAAGAGATTTGTCATAAATATAACTCAGTCATCCACTCTGAGCTACATTAGCAGCTGAAATAAGAACACTGCACCAAGTATGCTTAACCAACATCCAAAAAAGGTTGGGCTGGGTTTTTTTATGGTTGCGTCAATAAGGTCCTTTTGTGACAAACTATTTTTCACCAGTTTTAAAGCAGCTAGAAATGCTACTTTTTAAACAAACTTATTTGTGTCTTCTGAAGAGCATTTGGGAAAATTTAGTATATTGCCTCTGTTTTAGAAAAAGATGTAACACGCTGAGAAAATTCCACCAAGAAAAGAATGTCTTAATCCAAACCAC